AAAAAAAAAAAACGAAGACGGGGAGGATTCAACATCCGCTACTTTAGCTCAAATATGCTTATTAGATCAATGAACACATTTTTTACATTGCATTGTTTGAATGGTCAGCATCAATTGAACGCTTATTTTTATTTCATTTTTTATTTTTTATCTTTTTTAAGTTATAATGAGCTTTGAAAGGATGGTACATAGGAAGAAAAAAGGTGAGTAAAATTATGAACAAAGGGCATAAAAATCGTTGTAGATATCAACAAGTTGTAGCATTTTTGTATTATGGTAGTTGATAAATTGTTGGTAGATAGACATCGCAAATACTTTCATTGAACTGTGTTTAGCAAAAACAGTTTCAGCACTTTCCACAGTTCCATCTTTTTTTGATTTTTATTAAAAAACGAAGAAAAAAAAAATTGTCCATCAGATGTTTTGATTTTATCAGCCATACTGTATGCATAGATTTGAAGTGGAAGGAGAAAACTTCATTCGCTTCACTGTACCCCAAATTTTTTTTTTTCTGTATAACTCAAGTTTTGTTATTTAGTTGGTAAAGAAAAATTTGAACATCAGTAACAGAGGAGGACGGGAGGGGAAATAAAATGAACGAACGAACGAGGAAAATTAATGAAAGAAAAAAAAAATTTTTTTTTTTCATTTTTTAGCTTTACTTTTTAACGTTATCAATAGTGGTGTTGGTAGAAATGATAATAAAGGTAATAATAGTGAAAATAATAACTGTGATAGACCAAACAGTACTTTCCCACTATAATCTGATACGCAAAACAGTTTTTTTGCTTTTTTTTGTCGACTTCTTGGAATAGTATCAAAAACTATTACTGAATCTGGTTAGTTTTGGTTGCAGAAAAAAACTGTCATTGTTTTGATATGTTTAAAATTATAGGAAATTTTCATCTATAGTAATTTACGTTATATGCAGAAATTTTGTTTGAAAGAAAAAAAAAAATTAGGAAAACTTTTATTTGTATTCGACAACGCTAAATAAATTTGATTTTTATAACTTTTCAAAACAATTACTTTGTAGTCGTTTGTTTTCTTTTATTTATAAGTTTTGATGCTATTCAAATTCACTATATCATATAAACTTAAAAAGCATATTTTTTATATCATTCTTGGCCAAATGACGTTATATTCTTTTTTACACTTTATTTATCTTAAAAAAAAAAAAAAATTATTGGTAAGCAGTTGCATATTTTCCAATAGCAGTCTACAGAGGATTTTTGGTTCATCTTAGCCTCAACTTTAATTAATCTTTTGAAATAATTAAAAAATTTGGCTTAACAATTTGGAAACTGCCCAAAAATTATACCTATGGTTAGGTTGTTAAATAATTGGTTGCACACATCCCAAATTCCTGACCAAAACACTGCTCAAATGTCTCCTTCAGTTGCGTATAGTGATTATAATGGGAGAATGATGTTAACAAATTGCATGTATAAATAAAACAGTTAAAATTTTTAACTAATAACAGGGCAAAAAAAAGATCATAACTTTTTTTTTTTTTATTTTTCTGAAACAAAACAAAGTATTTTTCTTTTTTTGTGACAGGAATGCATTTTGTTTATTGATAATGACAATCTACTTATATCCTCTTTTAAAACCATCATGAAATCCTTTCTTCATATGGGTGATTATAAATAGTGATAAGGTCCGCCATGCAGCAACGGCTGCTGATTTTCGGCTGTTTTCAACGGTTTCCAAACAATTGATATGATCTGATAAGGCTTGTTCCATGGCGTCCTAAATACAACACAGCTATTTTGACTACATTTTTTTTTCTCAAATTTTTTGTTTCTTAATTTTTTTTTTCACTTTATTTTGATTCACGAAAATGATGTGATGAAAAGGCAAATGTTTTTGTGCAATTCAACTAGTGGTTGAACCGTTTTTGAGCTAAAATTTATATGTCATTCAACTTTCAACTGTTACTATTTTTACTTTTTTTTTTTTGAAACTAAGTTATGTCATTGGATGTTGGCATTTAGTTTAATTAATAAGCATAAAAGAAACAAGGAAGAAAAAAACGCTTATTTGTGCTCAAAAATTGGTTGATTACCAAAAAGACGTCCCAGTGTTCCGGTTCAAAACCGCGATAGGCGTATTTGCAATGTTTAACACCAATCTCATGCAGTAATGGCACTAATTGATCTATACTATAGAGTTGTTTAATAGCTAACGATAAAATCTGAAACAAAAACATTAAGAAAAAAAAAACAGTATCAGCAATCAGTGAGCAGAGTAATGTTGTAAGGGGCAAGGAGGGGGCTGGTGGAGGAAAAAAAAAACAGTATCGGAATAAACCACTTAGTCAGTATTTAATTTTGTTTATCAATTGTATTGAGACCTAATGCATAAAAATAATAAAATCATTTCTGTTTTGGTGTTAAAATACAAATAAAGTTGACAGCTTTTCATTTCACTTATCAGTTTTTTATTTAGTAAGGTTTTCTTCTGTACTTTACTGTTACTGAACATAAATGCAGAACAATGTCAAGGTCATCAAAACATCGCCATAGGTATTTAACTAATAGTAGAAGAATAAGTGGAAGCCAATTTTATTTCTCCTGGCTACAGTTGCATTCTTAAGCATATTTTAAAATCTTTTTATACTCAAACTTTTAACCTTATACTGTTTTATAAATTTTATTTTTGCAGGCATAGTTCTGGCAATTAGTTACATATGTTAACCACACTCAATATTGAATCTGCTGTTTGATAATGATATACCTCAAGAAGATTTTTCACCATCAATTTGTATGCCAAACAACTTCAAACAATGAATCAGACTAGTTCTTTTTTTTTTTGGCAATTTAGTGGTTAATTAGTTACTTTATAATATAGTCTATTTGTTGTGGGGATTTTTTGCTAAGTTTACACTCAATTTAAGTGTGATGATCAATACCTTAAATGGTTTTTTAAGTGTTTTTTTATTTCATTTTTTATTTTATGCATTTGTTATTTTACTTGTTCCAAAGTTTGGTTATCCAAATAGCATATTTTTGTGCCATGAACTAAAACAAAAAATTCTTTTTTCTTTTGAAATATTTTTGAACATTCAATACAGTATAATGGTGATGACAACTAAACTGCAATATTTTTTTGATATTTAACCACGTTTAACAGTTGGAATATTATTTGGAAATGCTGATATAAAAAAGCTTTTTATTTGTTGCTTTAATCTAAGGGATACGTATCAGTTTTCGGTGGAGAAATAACAACGAACAGAAGTGTACTAGAGAAATATTTTAGGTCAGAAGTTGCAGGTGTTTCAATGTTGAAGTAGAAAAATTGAAAGATAATCAACAATTGTTGATCAAATATATGAAGGACGTAAGTGGAAACTCAAGTGGACAGGAAGGAAGGGGAAAAAAAAACTCATTTAACTGTTG